AGTTTTGGAAGTTTGTATTTTTCTAGGAATATGTCCATTTCTTCCAGGTTGTTCTGTTTGTTGGAATAGAGTTGTTCGTAGTATTTTGTAACAATATGTTGTATTTTGGTGGGATCTGTTGTTATTTCACCTCTTTCATTTCTGATTTTGTTTATTTGTGTCCTCTCTGTTTCTTGGTTAGCCTGGCTAGAGGTTCATCTATCTTGTTTATCCTTTCAAAGAACCAGCTCTTGGTTTTGTTGATCTTATGTATTGTTTCTTTGGTCTCTATGTCATTTATCTCCACTCTGATTTTTGTTATTTCATTCCTTCTGCTTACACTGGGGTTTTCTTGTTGCTCTTTTTCTAACTCTTTGAGTTGTACAGTTAGATAATTTGTTACCATTTTTTCTTGTTTTATGCAATAGGCTTGTAGGGATATGAACTTCCCTCTCAAAACTGCTTTTGCTGTGTCCCATAGATTTTGGATTGTTGTGTTTTCCTTGTCATTTGTTTCCAGGATGTTTTTAATTTCTTCCTTGATTTCTCTGGTAACCCAGTCCTTGTTTAATAACATGCTGTTTAGTCTCCATGTGTTTGAATTCTTTGGGTTATTTTTATTGTAGTTAATTTCCAGTTTTATGCCACTATGATCTGAGAAGATGCTTGGTATGATTTCTATCTTGAACTTGAAGAGACTTTGCCTATGTCCCAACATGTGGTCTATCTTTGAGAATGTCCCATGTGCACTTGAGAAGAATGTATATTCTGTGGCTTTGGGGTGGAATGTTCTGAAGATGTCGATTAATTCCATCTGGTCTAGTGAGTCATTTAGGATTGATATTTCTTTGCTGATTTTTTGTTTAGATGATTTGTCCAAGGGTGGCAGTGGGGTATTAAAATCTCCTACTATGATTGTATTGCTATTAATTTCTTAAAAAATATATATATTTTTTAAATAAGAAGCCCAAGACCCTGGAGAATCCCCTAAAAGGAGTGTGCCTGGAAGACCCCAGAGCCTGGCAACCTCTATCCCACCTCGCCACAACCACAACAGCCAGTATCCAGAAAAGAAACCCTAGGAATGAAGCTCTGTAAATGGCCCGGGGTGGGAGGGGGCAGGGGAGGCTCAGCCTTTGGGTTCCCTGTATCCCTGCCCTGGCCTGGCCAGGGAGGTGGTGGGATGCAACCAGGAAAGTGGCAAAGTGGAGAATGGGGTCAAGGGGGCTCAGCAGCCACACTGGAACTTTGAACAGATCTTCCCCATCATGGCCACAGATAGTCGCCACACCCTCCTGCTTACCCTAGCCCCAGAGCTGCTCCAGGCCAATGTCGCAGGGCAGGAGACAGATGCTGAGTCCTGGTGCCAGCGGAAGGAGAAGCTCTGGAGACACCAGCTGGAGGATGTAATGGCGGATCCCGAGAATCAGCGCTGCTCCAGCTGGCAGGAGTACAAACAGCTGCTGCGGAGACCCAGAGCCACACCCACCCCCCCAACACCTGTGGGACCAGTCTGTCACTCCTTTGCTGAGTCCCAGCCTGGCACACTCCCCAGCCACAGTCTTTCAACATACCTCTGTGCTGCAGACGGCAAACGTCGTTGATGGAGACGCCAGGCTGCCACAGAAGTCTGGGCACTTGGAGATCAGCTTCGATGTTTACCAGGCTGACGCTGTGGCCACGTTCTGAAAGCATAGCCGTGGCAAACTCTACGCCTGGATGTGCATCAGTGGATTTGACGAGCCAGTCCAAGACCTCTGCACCCTCAGGCCATTGTCCTACCAGAGTGGGGCTGTTCCTATGATATTTGCCCTGGTGGATTATGGAGACCTCTCCTTCCACAGCTTCAGGGACTTCCCACTGACCAGGGATCTGGGATACTGACCAGTTCTGGCAGGACCTGGGGCCTACTTAGGGGGCTTGGAGGGGCTTGGTCTGTCTACTCTCAGTGACCATGGCAGCTGCCTCCTATACACCCTTGTAGCTGCAGGGATTAGTCTGGGCCTTGGCCCTGGGTATCTGATGCTTGCAGAAGAGCCAATCTGAGCTCTGTCCCCCTACCTGGCTGCTGCAGCGTTTCCAAGCTCCAGGACTGCCTCCGCTGCTTTGCAGTGATTTCTTTGGAGCTCAGCAATGAATTCAAGAGACCCGGCGAAGTGGGACAGAAGAGGGAACTCTGTGCCTTTAAATGAGAGGGTGCCTGCTTCATATGATAAAGCCTAATGCCATAGCTATTAAAAAATAGACCCTTTTTCTTCAAAAAAATATTAGCCTGCTATATTTGGTCAAACATTGAATTAACTCACCCCTAATGCTTTGACAGGGCCAAATCAAAGGATTTCATGGGCCTTATATGGCCCACAGGTCAGACGTTCCCCACCCCTGCCCTAAACAATGATCTTTTTCCCAGGTTAGACTGACAATCCTCTATGGTTCAACACCTACCCCTGCACCATTTTTGCTTTATTGCACATGTGTTTACCCCACCTTTTGTTCTATCCTTTCCCCCAGTGATCTGTGCAGACTGGACTGGTGGTTCCCTGGAGTGTGTGTGGGGGGGGGGGGGGGGAGTGTGAACCTGTTCTTATCCTGGAAATGGCTTTGGGTTATACCAAAGGACAGCCAGAATATGCAAGATTTTTTTCTCTCTTCTAATAAAAAAAACAACAACTTTTAAGCTAATTAGGCCTTTTTGATATCCTGAAGTTACACAGAAGTTTTGTCAAATAAAGAAATAATAATTTTGTTCTATTTGTATACATATATTTTTATCATGGAAGTGGATGTTCCAGATAATGTATGAAAATCTCCAAGAGTCTACAAAGGTATGATATATTTACATTGTAATTCTAATTTTCTTGGAATATTACACGTTTTAGAAAAGCAAAAGGCTTTTAATTGCATTATAATCAGATGTCCCTTGGTTCTGTGTATATCGTCTTTGGAGAAGTGTTTTAGGTCCTTTGCCCATTTTTTAATTGGACTGTTTGTCTTTCTTTTATTAAGTTGTATGAGTTTCTTATATGTTTTGGATATTAACCCTTTATCAGATGTATCATTGGCATATATGTTCTCTCATGCAGTGGGCTTTCTTTTCGTTTGGTTGATGGTTTCTTTTGCTGTACAAAAGCTTTTTATTTTGATGTGGTCCCATTTATTTATTTTCTCTTATTTTCCTTTGCCTTAGGTCATAAGGCTTAGGAGATGTAGCTATAAACATATTGCTATGAAAGATGTCTGAGATTTTGCTGCCGATGGTTTCTTCTGGTTTGGATTTTTATGGTTTTAGGATTTACATTTAAATCTTTTATCCGTTTTGAGTTTATTCTTGTGTATGGTGTAAGTTGGTGGTCTAGTTTCACTTTTTTGCATGTATCTGTCCAATTTTCCCAGCACCATTATTGAAGAGACTCTCTTAACTTCATTGTATGCTCTTTCCTCCTTTGTCAAATATTAATATAGCGTAATGGCTTGGGTTGATTTCTGGGTTCTCTATTCTGTTCCATTGATATATATGCCTGTTCTTGTGCCAGTACCAGGCTGTTCTAATTACAGTGGCTTTGTGGTATAACTTAATATCTGGTAATGTGAACCCTCTAATTTTGTTCTTCTTTCTCAAGATTATTGTGCCTATCTGGGGTCTTTTTTTGTTCCATATAAATTTTTGAATTGTTTGTTCAAGATCTGAATTATGCTGTTGGTATTTTAATAGGGATTAATTGAACTCCTAGATTGCTTTTGGTAGTATGGGTATTTTAATGTTATTGATTCTACCAATCCATGAATACAGTATATTCTTTCACTGATTGGTGTTTCTGTATATTCTTTCACTTGTTTATATATACCTTTATCTCTTTTTTTCCAGAGTCATGTAGTATTCTGATTACAGTTCTTTTATCTCCTTGGCTAAGTTTATGCCTAAGTATCTTAATTTTTTGGTTACTATGGTAAATATGATTGTTTAGTTTATCTTTCTGAGAATTTATTATTGGTGTATGAAAAACCATTGACTTTGGGGTGTTGACTTTATATCCTGCTACATTGCCAAATTCATTTATTAAATCTAGTAGTTTTGGGGTGGAGTCTTTAAGATTTTCTATATATAATATTTATTATGTCATCCAGGAATAATGAGAGTTTTACTTCCTCTTTTCCAATTTGGATGCATTTTCTTTCTTCTTATCTGATTGCTGTGGCTAGGACTTCCAGTACAATGTCGAATAAGAGTGATAAAAGCAGACATCATTGTCTTGTTCCTGTTCTTAGGGGAAATGGTTTGAGTTTTTGCCCATTGAATATGATGTTCAATATAGGTTTGTCATATATGGCCTTTATTATGTTGAGATATGCTCCCTCTATTCCCACTTGGCTGAGATTTTTAAATAAAAAATGGGTGTTAGGCTCTGGCTGGTTTGGCTCATTGCATCCTAGGCACTGAAGGGTTCCAAGGTTCAATTCCAGTCAAGGGCATATGCCTGGGTTGTGGGCTCTGTCCCCAGTAGGGGGGCATGAAGGGGGCAACCAACCAATAATTTTAATCATTAATGTTTCAATCTCTCTCTCCTTTTTCTTTCCTCTCTGAAATCAATAAAAACATACATTTTAAAATGGGTGTTGAATTTTGTAGAATGCTTTTTCTGCATCTATTGATATGATCATGTGATTTTTGTCTCTCAATTTGTTTATGTGATATATCAAGTATTGTACCAGCCTTGCATCCTTGGAGTAAATCGCACTTGTCATGGTGTATGATTTTTAAAAATATATTGCTGGACCCAATTTGCTAATATTTTATTGAGAGTTGTAGCATCTATGTCATCAAGGACATTGGCCTCTTTCTTTGTAGTGTCTTTATCTGGTTTTGGAATTAAGATAATGCTTGCCTCATAAAAAGACTTTAGAAGTGTTCCTTCCTCTTAGATTTTTTGAAACAGTTTGAGGAGCATAGATGTTTTTCTTTGAATGTTTGATAAAACTACCCTGTGAAGCCATCCAGACCTGGACTTTTGTTTGCTGGGAGTTTCTTTTTTATTACTGTTTCTACTTCATCAGTTATTATTGGCCTATTCATAATTTCTGATTCCTCCTGATTCTGTTTTTGGAGATTGTATTTTTCTTTTCTTTCTTTTTTTAGTATATTTTATTGATATTTTTTTAACAGAGAGAAAGGGAGAGCGATAGAGAGCTAGAAATGTCCATGGGAGAGAAACATCGACCAGCTGCCTATTGCACCCCCCCCACCAGGGATGTGCCCACAGCCAATGTACATATCCTTGACCTGAATCGAACCTGGGACCTTTCAGTCCACAGACTGACGCTCTACCACTGAGCCAAACCAGTTTCGGCGGGAGATTGTATTTTTCTAGGAATTTTTCCATTTCATCCAAATTGTCCAGCTTGTTGATATGTAGTTGTTCATAGTATTTCTTTTTTTTTAGAATCCTTTGTAATTCTGTGGTGTGAGTGGTTACTTCTCCACTTTTGTTTATGATTTTATTTATTTGGATCCTATCTCTTTGTTTGTTGATGAGCCTGGCTAATGGTTCATCAATTTTATTTATCCTTTCAAAGAACCAGCTCTTGGTTTTATTTATTTATTTATTTATTATTCTCTATGTTATTTATTTCTACTCTAATCTTTATTATTTCCTTCCTTCTATTTACCCTGGGCTTTTCTTGTCGTTTTTCTTTCTGGTTCTGTAAGCTGTAGGGTTAAATAGTTTATTGTTGGGTTTTTTTGTTTGTTTGTTTGTTTGTTTTTTAAGAAGGTCTGTAGTGCTATGAACTTCCTTTTCAGGACTGCTTTTGCTGTGTCCCAGAGATTTGAGGTTGTGTGTTCATTTTCATTTGTTTCCAGGAAATTTTGTCTTTCTTGGTCTCATTGGTAACCCATTCATCCTATATAATAAATAGTTACTATGCTAATTAGACAGAACAGTAGAACAACCACATGGAAGATTTTCTGGATGACACAGATGAAGCCAGACCCAGCCAAGGCAGCCAGGGCTTTGAGGGCTGAGCCCCTTGCATGAATTTTGTGCATCAGGCCTCTAGATGTTTAATGACATGCTATTTAGTCTCCAGGTGTTTGAATGTTTGGGGTGTTTTCACTGTAGTTGATTTTTTTATTTAAATATATATTTTATTGATTTTGTACAGAGAGGAAAGGAGAGAGATGAGAGTTAGAAACATCTATGAGAGAGAGTCATCGATCAGCTGCCTCTTGCACAACCCCTACTGGGGATATGCCCGCAACCAAGGTACATGCCGTTGACCGGAATCAAACCCAGGACCTTTCAGTCCCCAAGCCAACACTCTATCCACTGAGCCAAGCCGGTTTCGGCTGTAGTTGATTTTTAATTTCATTCTACTGCGACCTAAAAATATACTTGATTTTGTTTCAATATTCTTGAACCTGTAGAGACTTTTTTTGTGTCCTAATATGTGGTTTATCATTGTGAATAATCCATTTGACTTTGAGAAGAATGTATGTTCTGCTGCTGTGGGGTGAAATGTTCTAAAAATGTCAATTAAATCCATCTTAGCCAGCGTGTCCTTTAGAGTCACTGCTTCCTTGTTAAGTTTTTGTCTGGAAGATCTGTCTAGTGAAGTCATTGGGGTGTTAAAGTCTCCTACTATGATTGTATTGTTGCCAATCTCTCTGTTAAAGTCCTCTAGAAGTTTTTTTTTTTTTTTTAATATATTTAAATGCTCCTATATTGAGTGTATATGTTTACTAGGTTTATATCCTTTTGTTGGATTGATCCCTTTAGTATTAGGTTATCTCTCATGATGGCCTTCATTTTGAAATTTAAATTGTCGGATATGAGTATTGCTACTTCAGGTTATTTTTCTCTTACATTTGCATGGACAATTTTTTCCATCCCTTCTCTATCATCTTGTGTGTGTCTTTTATTCTGAGGTGAGTATCTTGTAGACAGCATATAGTTGGGTCATGTTTTTGTATACATTCAGCTACCCTATGCATTTTGATTGGAGCATTTAACCCATTTACATTTAGGGTTACTATTTATAGGTACTTATTTATTGCCATTTTAATTCTGCATGCCTATATTTCTCTCTCTGTTTCTTCTCATTACAGCAGTCCCTTTAGCATTTCTTGTAATGCTGGATTAGTCGTGATATATTCCTTTAGCCTTTTCCCACACACCCCCTCCCCAAGGAGGCTCTTTATTTGGCCTTCTATTTTGAATTATAGCCTTGCTGTATATAGTAATCTTGATTTCACATCCTTGCTTTCCATTAAATTGTGTACTTCATGCCATTCCCTTCTGGCCTATAGAGTTTCTGATGAGAAATCAGGTGTCAGCTTTATGGGAACTCCTTTGTAGGTAACGGTTTTCTTTTCTCTTATTGCCTTTAAGATTCTTTCTTTGTCTTTAATTTTTGGCATTTTAATTATGATGTATCTGAGTGTGGGTCTATTTGGATTCTTCTTGTTTGGAGTTCTTTGTGCCTCCTGAACTTGTGTGACTTTTTCCTTTACCAGGTTAAGAATGTTTTCTGCATTATTTTTTCAAACATGCTCTCTATCTCTTTCTCTCTTTCTGTCTCTTCTTGAACACTTGGTATTCTAATATTGTTACATTTCATGTTGTCCCACATCTCCCTTAAACTATCTTCTTGTCTTTTCTTTCTCTGATTGAGTGATTTTTTTCAACCCTGTCTTTTAATTTACTGATTTGGTCCTTAGCTTCTCCTAATCTGATGTTATTCCTCCCAATTTGTTCTTTATTTGTTCTATGTTATTCTTTATTTGTTTTCATAGTTACTATATCTTTTCTCAAATCTGAACTCTGTTTTAGATAAATTTCTTAACTCTGCTTCATTTATCTCTTCTTCTGGACAATTATCTTGTTCTTTCATTTTGGGGTTGCTCCTTTGTCTCCTTATTTTGGCTGCCTGTTTGGATTCATTACTATGTATTAGATAGATCCTCTATGCCTCTCAATTTCTAGTGCAGGACCATGTGAAATGCTGTTTCTGACTAATTAAATCAGGCAAAAACTCAAAGCCTCCTCATACCACCTGCCTACAGACTGATAGGAATCCTCTTGAATTTCCCCTAGGTATTGTCCTCAGGTGTGGGCAGAATTTCTTTTTTTCTTTCATCAAGGTGGGACAGTACCTTCTGCCTGGAAGCTAATTGTTAATTTTATTTATTTTTTAATTTAATAAATCTTTATTGTTCAGATTATTACAATTGTTTCCTCTTTTTCCCCCCATAGCTCCCCTCCACCTGGTTCCCACTCCACCCTCTGCCCTTATATCCCTCCTACTGTCCTCTTTCATAGGTGTACAATTTTTGTCCAGTCTCTTCTCGCACCCCTCATACCCCTTTCCCCTTGAGAATTTTCAGTCCACTCCCTTTCTATGTCCCTGATTCTATTATATTCACCAATTTATTCTGTTCATCAGATTTTTAATTCACTTGATTTTTAGATTCACTTGTTGATAGATATGTATTTGTTCATAATTTCTCTCTTTAACTTTTTCTTCTTCTTCCTCTTCTTAAAGACTACTTTTCAGCATTTCATATAATACTGGTTTGGTGTTGATGAACTCCTTTAGCTTTTTCTTATCTGTAAAGTTCTTTATCTGACCTTCAATTCTGAATGATAGCTTTGCTAGGTAGAGTAATCTTGGTTGTAGGTTCTTGCTATTCATCACTTTGAATATTTCCGGCCAGTCCCATCTGGCCTGCATAGTTTCTGTTGAGAAATCAGCTGACAATCGTATGGATGCTCCCTTGTAAGTAATTAATTGTTTTTCTCTTGTTGCTTTTAATATTCTCTCTTTCTCTTTTGCCCTTGGCATTGTAATTATGATGTGTCTTGGTGTGGTCCTCTTTGGACATGTAAGTCTATTTCTTGCACCAGGTGGGGGAAGTTTTCAGTCATTATTTCTTCAAATAGATTTTTAATATCTTGCTCTCTGTCTTCTTCTGGCACCTGCATAATTCTGATGTTGGTATGCTTGAAGTTGTCCTAGATGCTTCTTACACTATTTTCATCTTTTTGGATTCTTTTTGCTTTCTGGTTGTTTTTTGCTTCTTTGTATTTCAAATCTTTGACTTGATACTTGCATTCCTCTAGTTTGCTGTTGGGTCTCTGTATAATATGTTTTATTTCAGTCAGTGTATGTTTAATTTTTAGTTGGTCCTTTTTCATATCCTCGAGGGTCTTGCTAAATTTATTGGCCTTTTCTAGGAAATTCTTAAAAAAAAAAACTTTATAACAGTGGTTTTGAACTCTATATCCAGTCTTTTGTTTTCCTACATTTCTTTCACTTGTGATCTGTTTCTTTGTCTCTGCATTTTCACTGATTCCCTGAGCTGGTAGGGTAGCTTTGTGTGCTAGGTGTACTATGTGGCCCAGTGGCTCAACCTCCCCAGTTACCTGAAGTAGACACTCTTGGTGCATCCCTTTGTGGACTGTGTGTACAGCCTTGTTGTAGTTAAGTTTTGATTGTTGTTGATATCACTGGGAGGAATTGACCTCCAGGCCAATTGGCTGTGAGGATCAGCTGTGTCTATGCTAGGAGAACTTCTGTGATGGAGACAGCCTTATGAGACAAGATTTGCAAAATTGCAAAAGCCTCTGTGCTCAACTTGAATGGAGTGGAGTCTCAGGGCTGAGAAGACAGTCTTGGCTTTCTGTAAGCCCTGCCCTCTCATGCCCCTGAGGCTCAGTGTCCCTTGATAATCACTGCAAACACCTCTAAGAGTAAGCCACTTTTGAGTTTTTCTCGCTGACAGACAGTCCAGTTTCTCCCCCAATGAATCTAGATTCCCAGATTCTCACCTGGAACTGGAGTTCAGCTTAGTGGGAGAGCTTCTGTTTCCCACCCACTAGAGAAAGCCAATGGCATTTAGCAGTCAGTCCTCTCTTCTGCCTTTCATGGCTGTCCTGAGTTTCTGCCTGACAGTCCAGATTCCTCCCGTATAAGCCTGGGTCCCCAGGGTCTCACCCAGACCTGGGGTTCACTGTAGTTGGAACTGTGGTTCAGCATAGTGGGGGAGCTTCCATTTTCCAGCCTCTAAAGAAAGTCAGAGGCATTCAGCAATCAGTCCTTTCTCCGCACACTCACCTGTGCCCCTCCAGACTTCTGCCTTTTGTGGCTCCCCTGATTTTCTGCCAGACAGTCCAGATTCCCCCCATATAAGCCTGGGTCCCCAGGGTCTTGCCTGGAACTGAGGTTCAGTGCAGTCAGGAGCTTTTGTCTCCTTCCTGCTAGAGAAAGCCAGCCAGGCACTCAGCTGCCCGAGCACGTATCCCTGTACCTTTGCCTTTTGTAGCTCCTCTGATTATCGTGGTGTGCTTTCTTCTTTCCTTCTAGTTGTAGAATTTCCACTCAGCCAGCTTTCCTGTGGT